ATCACCTTTTACTTACCTATTGTTACTGGCCACAAATATTTCTTCACTCTTATTGATGATTTCTCTCGTACAACTTGGGTTTATATGCTGAAAACTAAAGCTGATGAGTTCATTGCATATGTCGAGAATCAATTTCAACTTTCAGTTAAAACTATCATATCTGACAATGCCAAAGAACTTGATTTCTCCTCTTTCCTTGCTAAAAAGAGAATTCAACATCAGTTCTCTTGTCCCTATACTCCTCAGCAAAACGCCATAGTTGAACGCAAATATTAACACATCTTAAATATGGCTCGTGCTTTATATTTTCAATCAAACATCCAACTGTCTTATTGGGGAGACTCTATTTTGACAGCGGTTTACCTTATTAACCAAACACCAACTCCTATCCTTGATCACAAGAGTCCTTATGAAGCTTTACTTCGAAGCAAACCTTCATACTCTCATCTTAAAGTGTTCGGTTGTTTGTGTTACGTCTCTTCCCACACAAAACTCGGTCACAAATTTTCTCCCCGTGCTCACTCTTGTGTTTTTCTTAGTTACCCACCTGGTGTTAAAGGTTACAAACTCTTAAACTTCAGTACCAATGCCATCCTCATTTCTCGACATGTTATTTTCCATGAGATTGTTTTTCCATTTCACAACAGTCCTTCTCCTTCTTTATCACCACCAGATTCCAAACCATCAGTTCCTTTGTCTCCTTTTCACTTATATGACATATTTGTCTCAGTTTCTGATCGAGTTCGTCCTTCTTTACCCCCTTCTTCAGATTCTGTGTCAGTTCCTTTTGTTCCACCAGCTTCTGAGTCTGTCATCCCTGTTTCTTCAGATCGTGTGTCTGGTTCTGAACATCTTGAGCAAGTTCGAAAATCAGAGCATATAACTCAACCCCCACCTTACCTTTCTGATTACCATTGCTACTTCATCACTCACAATTCACCATTCTTACTTATCATATTCCAAACTTAAACCACACTACAAATCATTTGTCTTATCCCTCTTGACAGAACCAGAACCCCATACTTACCCTCAAGCTGCAAAATCTGAAGCTTGGACAAAGGCCATGAAATCTGAATTGGATGCCTTGTGTCAGACACATACTTGGGACATTTATGCACTTCCTTCGGACAACCCCATTGGCTGTAAATGGGTCTTCAAGACCAAGTATAACTCTGATGGCACAATAGATAGACACAAAGCCCGTTTGGTCGCCAAAGGTTATACTCAACTTGAGGGTGTGGATTACCTTGACACATATAGTCTTGTTGCCAAAATGAAAACAATCAAGATTCTGCTCGCTCTTGCTTCATCTCTTGGATGGTTTTTGGAACAATTGGACATTTCCAATGCCTTTCTCAATGGTGACCTTTCTGAGGAAATTTACATGAAGATTCCTCCAGATTATTCTGATCTTCAGGGGTGAAAATTCCTAAGAATGTTGTTTGCAGGTTTCAAAAGTCCATTTATGGCCTTAAACAGGCATCAAGGCAATGGAACTTGAAGCTGTCAAATACTCTAAGAAATGTTGGTTTCTTTCAGTCTTCTGCTGACACATCCTTGTTCAAGAAAGTATCTGGTTCGCGATTTGTGTTTCTGTTGATTTATGTTGATGATTTGATGATCATAGACAATTATCTCAGTTTGATTGCTGACACTAAATCTACACTTCAGCAGCATTTCAAAGTCAAGGATATGGGACAGTTGAGATATTTCTTCGGAATTGAAGTAGCTCGATCTGGTAAGGGGATCCACATATGTCAGAAGAAGTATGCTCTTGAACTCCTTGATGAATATGGCTTGTTAGGTGCAAAACCTGTCTGCACACCATTAGATACCAAGGACAAACTTAGCAATGATTCTGGGGACTTGTTGTCAGATGCTTCCTTCTATCGGCAACTCGTGGGGAAACTCATCTATCTCTCATTAACAAGACCTGATATCTCCTTTGTTGTACATAAGCTAAGTCAATATGTGGCTACTCCTCGATCTGGACACTTACAGACTGCTTAAAGAGTAATGCGGTATCTCAAGTCTGCACCATCACAAGGTCTCACTTACTCATCCTCCTCCAGCATTACTCTCAGTGCCTATTCTGATGTGGATTGGGCCTCATGCCCAGACTCTCTTCGTTCAGTCACCGGATTCTGCATCTTCATGGGAACCTCTTTGATCTCATGGAAATCCAAGAAACAAGCTATTGTTTCTAGAAGCAGTGCAGAATCCGAATTCAGAGCTTTAGCACAGACAAGTTGTGAACTGATATGGATTTCAAATCTGCTTGAGGAAATTCAGATCCCTTATCCTCGACCTCTCACTATTTTTTTTGATAATCCGTAGGCTTTGCATATTGCCAACAATTCTGTCTATCACGAGAGAACTAAACACATTGAGTTAGACTCCTTCGTTCGAGATCATATCACTTCCGGCCTACTGAAACCATTGTCTGTCACTTCTCGAGAACAAGCTGCTGATATATTAACCAAACCTATACCTTCTGATCATATAGGTTTATAGCATATAGGTTTGTTATTTTGTACAAAAGTAGAGTAGGCTTTTTAGCCTTTTTCATGTACATAAACGATTGTAAACTGAGGAAGAAATATACGAGAAAATCATTCTGAAAAACCTTTCTCTCTGGGTTTTTCTCTCTCTTTCATCTTCTTCATTTGCTCTGTTCTTGTTGGGTTTGTACTGTTCTTGTTGGGTTTATTGTGTTTGCCGTTCAACTGAGTTTTGAACGCCGACAGTTAGTGGATGATGTTTGAATGGGATGAAAAGTTGTTCCCTTTTTGGTGTTACAACTTGATATGGGTTTCAAAATTTAGTGTTTTTTCCTCTCTCGATCTTTGTTGAAGTGTTGTGGGCGAGTGATGTTTTGTTAAAGTATCCAATTGTTGAAGTGTTGTGGGCGAGTGATGTTTTGTTAAAGTATCCAACTTTATGTTCTCCTGAGTTGTATTTGCTGCCTTCTTCTCCCTCGCTGATAATACCAGCTTCTTAAATGTTTAATTCAGGTGAACCGAATGATCAATGGAGACTAAAGGTGGGAAGAAGAAGTCTACTAGTAGTAGTAGTAATAGGGTTCTTTTCTACGAAGCTCCTCTCGGATACAGCATTGAAGACGTTCGACCAAACGGGGGAATCAAGAAGTTCAGATCTGCTGCGTACTCAAACGTAAGTAGTTCAGCTCCCGTTGATCAGAGAAAACGAAGTAGATGGTTGTTAACTTCTCGTGTTAAGCATGGAAGGCTAATATCTTTGGTGTCATCTTCTCTTGCAGATCACCCGGAAACCATCCTGATATTCCTCGGTGTTTTTCCGTCTTCACCGCTAAAACGTGGTTGATCGCTGTCTATCTTTCAGTGAGAATTTACTTCCGTTTTCCCGTCCAAACTCTTCTTCTTCCTCTTCTGCTCTGTTTGCATCACTCCCCCCTTTTCCTTAGCCGAAAGAAAGTTCCTTTCCGGCTCTATTTGCAAGCACCCTTTTGGCAGTGGTACCATAATTTGGTCTGAGAATGATGGTTTCTGCTATTGGTTTCGAGGGGTTTGAGAAAAGGCTCGAGATATCATTTTACGAGCCAGGAGTTTTTCTTGATCCCGAGGGAAAGGGTCTTCGTACTCTTTCCAAACCCTAGTTGGATGAATTCCTGGGTCCGGCTGAGTGCGCTATCGTGTCATCACTCTCAAATGCTCATGTTGATTCATACGTCCTCTCGGAGTCTAGCCTCTTTGTCTATCCTTACAAGATCATCATCAAAACATGTGGAACTACAAAGTTGCTCTTATCAATCCCACCATTCTGAGGCTGGCAAATTCCCTTTCCCTCGTTGTTCGGTCTGTCCACTACACTTGTGGAAGCTTTACTTTCCCGGGAGCTCAGTCTTACCCTCACCGTAGCTTCTCTGAAGAAGTTGCTGTGCTCAATGGCTATTTTGGTAAGCTTGGGTCAGGAAGCAAGGCTTTTGTGAAGGGGGGACTGAGAGTAACCCTCAAAGGTGGCATGTATACTCTGCTTCTGCAGATGCAGCTGTTTGTGCCGAACATGTTTACACATCGGAGATGTGCATGATGGGTCTAGACAGTGAAAAAGCTTCTGTTTTCTACAAATGTCGTTCGGGTTCTGCAGCTGAGATGACCATAGGCTCCGGCATTAGAAAATTCCTTCCGGGTTCAGAAATCTGTGATTTTGAGTTCGACCCATGTGGTTATTCGATGAACTCCGTGGAAGGAGATGCAGTTTCGACCATCCATGTGACACCTGAGGACGGACTCAGCTACGCGAGCTTTGAAACTGTCGGGTATGACCTGAAGAACCTGAACCTGAACGAGCTGGTGAACAAGGTATTGATTTGTTTCAAACCGGGAGGATTCTCCATAGCTGTACACGCCGATCTTGGAGCCGAGTTGCTGAAGCAGGACTGCTTACTGGACGTCAAGGGATACTGCGTCAAAGAGAGGAGCATAGAGGAACTTGAACTCGGTGGTTCAGTTGTTATTTACCAGAAGTTCATCAAGACTGGGGAATGTTGTGGAACTCCTAAGTCTCCTCTCTTGTGCTGCTGGAAAGAGGAAGAAATGGTTAAGAAAGAAGAGTGAATAATTTCATTTCCGGTATCTTTTATGTTTTGTCTTAGAATAAAGCAAGTTGCAGATCGTAGAGGACATATATCTTTATGTTCCCATGGCTGCAGTCTGTGTTGTGAAGACATGAAGTGTTGTTTGAGCTGTCTGTGTCACTTCTCTGGTGTTTCTGCTTCATTGTCGTTGCTTCAGCTTATATCTATTTCTGTTTTCCCTGGAACACTTTCCATTTCTGCCGCATGAACACTTTCAAACACAAAAATCTGCGGTTGAATCCTTAGAAAGTTCATCTACAGTAAGAGTGGGAGAGTCAAGAATACTGTTCCTTGAATTTGTGAACTGATTGTTAAGTGACTTCTGCCTTTTTCTCCATTTGTTGTAAGTGAATTTAGAATCAAAGAGGCTAATCCCACAAGATTTACCTCAGCATCATCACTTTGAGTTGACAAGAACTAGGAAGAGACAAGAAAAGAGCAACACACTTGATGTTTCTGTCTGTTCTAAAAACTCGATAAACTATCACAATGCAGAGAACAGGAAAGATTATGTTTGCTACCTAGCAAAGTAGATCGATCCATCAGGCATACAGATCATAATCGACCCAGGAATGCAATTTCTGGCCAGTTCTCGAAGAGTAACCCTCAAGGTCTTCACTGACCATAACGGATTCCAAACCAGGGATGTAATTCTTCAGCAGAGCTCCAACAAGTCTTGCAGAAGAGGGACCAAACTCGGGCCACGACACGACCAAGGTTCCTTTGACGTTCTTTATCTGACATCGGCTCAAAAGAGCAGCACTTAAGCCATCAATCACACTCCCGGATGGAAAGTATTCAAGATTTGCAAGACCCGAGTTAGAATTCCTGTCACGAGCTGCTTTTCTTTCGGATGATGTCTCGAGCTTATATGCACACGTCATATCGGGCGAGAGCCTGCCCCTGAAGTTACGGATTTGAATGGAATCCAAGATTATAACCCTTTCGGGGATAATTTCTTCACCAATGAGCAACCTTGAGACAATGTGTGACCTCTCAGGAGATACCGGGAGCTGAACTGATACAAGGAGAATCGAGTAATCTCTGGTGCCATTGAGGGAATATATATTGCAGGATTTGTCTCCTAATGAGGGTTCAACGGTGTTCCCAGAAAACGGGATTTCAGGCATGATGAGACCTCCAATGAGGATTTTAGCAGATAAATGGTGGAAGACGTATTGAGATGGTGAAGATATGGCTATGATGAGCAAGGACGGTCGAAGGGGCGTCTCTGGCTTTGGGTTGGAGAAGATGATGAAGGGGGATGAAAGAGGATCGGGTGGCGAGACAAAGTTGTTGAGATCTTCTTGGAAGAATCTTGATGGTGGAGGGATCTCTGTTATTACGTCTTCCATTTCCGGATTTGATCGAAAAGTCTAACGGATCTGAGTAAAAAACATAGAGAAGATGCAATTAGTTGCTGATGAACGGATATGTCAGCACGAGACGGAAACATCTTAAGAAAAACGCAACACTTGCAGAGATCCGTCATTTGGGCAGAAGACAAAACTCGTAAGACAGGGCATTACAAAGAGAACTGATGAATAAGCAATTGCAAAGACACCGAGATTCACAACGACTCGAAGATATTGCCGTCAAGCAGCATCTGGCTGAATCCAACAAGCAATAAAAAAAAACAATCATCTAAAGTATGAATCTTATGTTTCGAAAAAATCTAGTTGAAGAGTAACTCCAGTGCTCGTAAGGAAATCGAGTTTCATCACCACTCATTGTTTTCTAATATTTAAGTTCATTGCTTATCCTATCCACAGAAGAAACTGTGAAGAACACAAAAACCAACAAAATGCCTACTGCTTACTCCTATTGGTAACAATCAAAATCCAGTTTCTTACAAAATCTGTGGTTAATGGCTGAAACTTTAACTCAAAACCTTCAGTCCAAGACACAAATCAAGCTCTATAAGCACTATATTTCTCGATCTATTCGACCTTCGAACTGGAAACCCTCTTGGCAACAATAGAAAGCTTGTCGGTTTCACACAAAACCATCCAAATCTAATGATCTAAGGAAAATTAAATCTCAGTCACTGGAGGATGAAACAACAAATGTACAAGCAAAGGTTCGAAATTTCGCAAATAACTTTCCATATCGACCTATTTTTCTCAAGTTTCAAAGCAACCGAGAGGGTCACAAACCTCGAGCAGGATCGCTCAGTTAGAACCCTAATAAAGTAAACAAGATACGCAAGGAGATCCGAGAAACCCAGGAAGAAAAGAGAAAAAACAGTGTATGGCTACCGAGAAAAAGGAGAGAAACGGAGAAAAATCGTACCTTTGACGGAGAAGCAGACCCAGGAGAGAGGTTCTTGTGTTGGTTCTGTCTTTTCGACCAAGACAGAGACGGGCTTGACGACGTGAAAGAAAGGAACCCGAGTTCTCAATCAAATACAATAAAGCTCTGTTTTTTTTCCCCTTTTTTTCGGGAAAAAAAGAATTTGGGTTTTTATTCAAATTGAAGCATGAGGTTGTGTTCTTTACAGTAAAATTTTCAGACATATAACCTGACATAACAAAGCGTGTGAAGAGATTGAAGGTCTTCGAGTGGCTTGGTCTCGTTGCGATTACGAACTAAACTGCTGAATGGTTTTTTTTTTTTCCCAAAGTGACAAAAGAAATCAGAAATGGAGCAAATGAACAGTCTTAATCACAATCTTGAATCCATCAAACTACAAAATGAACAGACACAATCCCAATCGAGAAAAAAGATCCAAATCCTGGAAATGATGATGATAAAAAAAAAACTTTTCTTTTGTCCAGAGAGTTCTTCTACCCATCAAAAAGGCTTCATCTGATCCATAATGGAACTTACAATCCCTTGTGGGAGATGACTCAAGTGCTTGTCTAAGGCTGACGAGTCGTTTCTCTCTCTCTCTCTGTCCAAATCTGTTGATTCAGATCGCCAAACAGGCATCATAAATCTAAACGTTTATGAAGGTGTAGATGAAGAACAAAGAAATGCCCCACAAATACGTACGAGTATAATGATGAATGTTCACCATTGAGTGTATAGCAGGTTACACACATCTTCGATATCAATCTTCATGCTCATCTTCATCTTCAGAATCTGCAAAAGACACATATAACGTCCTTGAATCTTCTACTTGGATAGATGCAGAAGATGGGTTTACACAAAAAAAAAAAAAGAAAAAAAAAAAACTTTCACTCACCGGATCTGACATCTTCACTAAGCTTGCCTCTGGCCTGCACTTGTTTCACAAGCATTCTGAATATCAAGACCCACCAATAAACGTGAAGGACGAGCAAACAAAACAGAAGAGTGTTGAACATGTAGTAGTAGATTGGTCCCTCAACCGGGTGCTTTTCCTTGTCAAGCGTCAAAGTAACTTCATAGCTGCAAGGAAATGTTTTAACAATGATGATTCCTTAAGTCAAGAAGATTCCTATTAATGGATGGAAAACAGGTTATGATGAGTAAGGATACTAATGTATGCAAACCTTGTGCTCCAAAGGACCCAGAAAGGATAGTAGATGAGGCGAAGTATGATCCAAGACAACACGAAAAGAATAAATGAAAAGCTTGCAATAGTTTCAGCTCCGCTGTATTTGGACATCTTCCCGACTTCCAGGAACACGTCACTGGCATCATGAAGTGCCAACACAACAGAACCAACTCGAGAGAATCTATGGACAGAAAATCAAGAAGATCAGAGTAAGGTGAATGAGCTTTTCCCGCCATAAAGAACCTTTCTGATTCAGTACATTTTTTTCCAACATGGGTATGTGTATGGAAGCATACCTACATACATAGGAGAGCAAGATAAGAATAAGTGTAGCGATGTGATGACCCATGGAAACTCCAAAGTCAGAACGCCTCGTTTCCCAGAATATCAGAGCAAATATGGAGTATGTATAGAACCCAGCACCAAACATGTACAAAAACTTCAACTTTACCCTGAAAAATGTAAAATTTTATAGCTAATGAAAGCATAAATCTGATGAACTAATAGAGCGTGACAAAGGCCCTGGACGACATCTTACTTCATTTGTTGATCAGGCCACACCTGATCTCCCGGGCCTACCCAGAAGTATCGAGTTTCCCTAAACCAAGGTTCATTAAAAGTCACAGATAGAGCAAGAATCTCGGCTGACAGGTAGTAAACACACTTCCATGCTGACTCTTTGAACTTTCGGATTTTCTTCCTCCTCTCGTTTATGTCATCCCCCATATTCTGCTGTTTTCCATAGATCAGAATTTTTGCCAATTTCTACAAAAACCAACGTTTCCATCATTAGGGTCAACTTAAAGTGGATCTGAACTCACAAAAATGAAAACTTTTGCATTTTATCTCTCATTTTACTGAGAGCAAAGAAAGGCAAACACTAGTGATACCAAAAAAAGAGAGGAGGATACAGAAACTGTTGAAAATAATCAGCACCAGTAACTATTTGAGAGGGAGCAAAAGCTAAACAGAGGCGGCTCCTTCTACTATCTCACAAGCAATAAGTTTGGATATCATAAAAAAAGAGGGTAACATATGGAGAAAAAAACACCAGAAGAAGAAAACATTTCACTTCTGCAACAATTCACTTAAACTACATGTCTTCCCATGGCCATAACCCTCAATGCATTCCCAAAAGGTTTAGGTCACATTTCAAGAAAGAGATGCCATAAATCCAGATCATTCTTCTCCATGAAACCTTTTCCATATACTTTCCACTGAAGCAACCGGTTCCCCTTTGAGAAACAAGCCCCCAGCAGAAGACAAGGTCTTGATGAAACGTTTCTATGTACAATCACTTTAAGCATCTTAAAAACAGCAACCTCCTTCCAAAATCGCATCTCCACAGTTCCAAAGACAAAAACCATGGCGAGAAGATCATCAAGAAACCTAACTGAGAAGCAACAAGTTTTTTTTCCCTCCTCAAAAAGACCAGTAATGATTAACCTTCTAGCAACTTCCAATCAACAAAGCACAAGTAGGATCTAATGAAAGGTAATAAAATTACTAAAAAAAAGATAGAAACAGAGCAAGAAAAGGGGCAAATCTCTCTCTCTCTCTCTCGCACACACATACACAGAGGAGGAATAAATGCGATTCCAGAGACAGTTGCAAGGGTATGGGTAAACAGCAATCCAAACGTATCGAGTGTATTTACCTCGAAAACGAGTCTGTCGAGGAGAAACCGGACAGAGGGGAAGAAAATCGCGAAGAGAGGAAGAACCCTGAAATCGTGGTAAGTCGGGTACGATTCTACCTCCCAGTTCACCGTCTTCAACAATTCGACGATACCCATTACGGATCTTCTCCTCACCAGTACCGAACCTAGACGATATTCCCGAGAAACAAACAGAAAATCAAATCCAGCGAGAATTTTGCAAGTACCTCGGCCTCCGTCGTCTACCTGAGGAACACAAAAGGGATCCCCTTTTTCTCGAGAAGACCAGAGGCAAGCGTGGATCAGAGAAAGTCCAATCCTCCAAGTAGGACTACTCCAATTCCTCTGATTCGTACCGACCAATAACCAGTAATCCACGATCTGGTCGTTGCTCTGAAATTTTCCATCATCGAACCCTCTGACTGACTTGGAAGCTCTTGGAAGTCTCGACGTGACCATATCTCTTGTTCTGATTTTTTTTTTACAATTATTACATATAGAAAATAATTAAAATTTTGTATTATCTCGTAATACAATAAATTGATGATTTAATTTAAAAAAAGTACATTCTATCGTTAAGGAACTACAATATTAGATCATGCATCATAAATGAGTTAATGTATAAATAAAAAAATAGAAATGCTATAAATACAGAGATTAAAAGATGAAGATATTATCTATTATTTGAAAACAGAAAATCTAATTTATCAAAAATATTTTTTTAAAACTGCATCCATTAATATTTCAAAAATGTACATCACCAAGAGGGAAATGGAATGATTTCAAACAAGCGGATTGGGTTGAACTACAATTGAGCTTAGCTCAATAGACACCCTTTGGGCTTAGTTCCTATCTAATTTCAATAGGTCCATTATTCAAAATTTCCCCTCGCACAATCTAATTTGATTAAAAAAAAAGGTAAAACTTATAAAATATTATAAACTTTTAAAATAATAAAAAATAAATTTCTAAATTTTGAACTTAATAAATTTATTACCATTAGAAAAATGTATAATTATAATTTTTTTAATTTGTTAATCAGTGGTTTGAGAAACCTTGATGTTGTTTTCTCGACGATGTTGATTTAAAAATCAGTTTAAAAATTATAATGATATATTTTATAAGTTTAGAAATTATCATGATATATTTTCTAAATATAGAAATAAATTTATTAAATGAAAAGTTTAGAAATTTAATTTTCATGTCTTACAAACTCAAGAATTTTTATGGGATTTAACCTAAAAATTATTATTTAAAAAATATACATAGAGCTTAATGTTCTGTGATGGGTATGAACTACAAAAGAGACTAAAAGGGGTTTAGGATGTCAGATCAGAGACTGAGTTCGTTGAAATTATACCTAAAGAAGCACTGTATATGCAATTCACCATAATAACAAAATCAAATAATATATCCTAAATTTAATTTGTCACGATTTGTGTGGCGATTAGGGAGATGTTAATATTTTCAAATCAAGCAAAACCTATAGATAAGAGATATAAGTGGTAGATCTAAATAATTGTAACTTATGTATAATTATTTTGCGTGCATGCACAAGAACTCGTCTTCTCAATAAAATTCATGCATTGTTATTTCTATTTGCAGGTCCCCGAAGGTCTTTCTCGAACGCCCCGGTTTGACCCGACAAATTCGTTTGTTCACTCAAATCCAATCCCAATTTCTCTCATATTTCACGTAAAATAAAATTTAAAAAAAAAATTGAGGAGAGAGAGTAGAGGAGTGATGATGGAATAAAAATGTGAGTGGATACACTTTTATAATTTTTCTTCATCCATTTATTTCTTATTCATATTTTCTCCAATTGTTTTTTGCTCTAAAATTGTTGGCCGCCTCTTGTGTGGTGAGCCAATACCCACCAAGGCTTCCACCTCTCTTTGTCCTCTTGCTCCATTTGTCTTTTTTCACATATATATATGTATATATGTGTGTGTGTATGCGTGTTTGTTTGTATTAATTATATAAAGAATTCAAGAAATTTGGTCTACAGAAGAATGTACACATATATATGTATATATATATATGTATATGGGGCAGGTGAAAACTAAAGAAACCGAATCTTGGTGGGTTTTACCAAGTGACACTTGAGTGGATAAAAACATAAATAAGAAAAATGACTAATGATTAAGTCTTTGATCACACTTGGAGGGAGACGGTCCACCATTTTTTTTTTTTAACAATCAAGTTATTTCATTTGTTCGCTCCCGTGCTTGCGTGCTGCCATGAAAATGTTTCTGCGATGTAAGTGCATATGGCGTAATAAATTAATCTATAATTTTATCTTTTTATAATAGATGGCTTTTCACGGTTCTAGTTAATTCTACGCTATACATTCAAACAACTATCCATAGCTTTATACATTAAAAAAAAATCAATAATATGTTATTATGAAATGTTTTCTTTCGAACTAAGATCATATACTATTGAAAGAGATTAAGTACGCACATGAAATTCGAAATACCTGTTAAGAGGCTAATTGTGTGTGATTTGTCACTAACACTACTAATTGATGTGGTCAACTCAATAAAATGTTATTCAATATAGCAAAAATACTTTTACTTTACTACAAAGACTTTACGGTATACCCTTCAAAACCCTAGGATTTCGAAAAAAAATAAAAGGAACAAAAACAAAATTAACCCTCTAAAAAAAGTAATGTGACACCTTTCTCTCCACTTACTTAGTCATTTTGAATTCATCTTTATCGTTCTCATACTTTGATAACTCTCCATTTTATTTCTTAACTTTCTCTCTCCACTCTTATATTTCTCTCAACTCTTCCATTTTTTCCCTTCTCATTTCATTTTTACGCATAGAAAAACAAACGAAACATAATTATTTCGTTGAAATATCTTCATCGACGATCTCATATCTTCTTCTTGAGTCGGCCTAAGACAGAACAAATGACAAGAACTGAAGATAAATTCATTAATGCAAGAGATTGGTTCGATGCATAAACTTTGTATTTTAGGTTTGAGTTTTATGATTTTTAAAGTGAATCATGTGGTTTTTTATGGAAATGGGACAGATGCATAGCAAATCTGTCCAAGAATATGCAAGAGACGCATATTTAATTTCAAATAAATGTTCGGAGGTATAATGGAACGGATTGACAATGAAAACAAAGGTACGTCACATTGGTTACACCGTTTAAAATTTAATTTTGATCACACTAGTCACAAGATCACATTGGTCACACTAGTCACATTGGTCATACATCTGGTCACACTAGTCACACTGGTCACACCGTTCAAAATTTAGTTTTGGTCACACTAGTCATATTGATCACACTGGTCACACTAGTCACACTGGTTACACCAGTCATATTGGTCACCCTGGTCACACCGTTCAAAATTTAGTTTTGGTCACACTAGTCATATTGGTCACACTGGTCACACTAGTCACACTAGTCATATTGATCACATCGTTCAAGATTTAAACTCTGATCATATTGATCGCACTGGTCACACGAGCTATATTGATAGCATAAGTCACTTCTTAAAACTTTGTTCACTTAATCACATTGGTCACACCGAAAATTTTTAAAATTCATGCGAAAAAATTTATTTTTTTATGATGGAGGGAGTTTTAAAAATTTTAAAATATTAAAATTTTTTTTTCTACGAAATCGAAAACTGTTGTTCTCTCTCTATCTGTCATTGGGACCCACGCCAATGAGTATTATGGGAACAACATAATTATAAAAGATATGTTTTAAAGTAGTTTTTATTTTTATTTTTGTAAGAGTATACTGTGAAATCTTTATAGCATAATAGTAGGGGTATTTTTTATAAAAGCCCCAATAAAATTCTAGCTCTCTCTCTTCTTTTGAAATGTCAGTGGATGACTATATAATTCAAATGACCTTTTATGGCATTCGAATTTAATATCACTTTATGTCAAGTGTGTGTATATATATACACACATATATATTATAATCATGAACCAATGGTCTTTGGTATTAGTGTGTGTATATATATATCCCAAGATGGCAAAAAAAAGGTGAGGAGATCTTGCACCAATATGCTTACCAAAGGAGTTAATTATTTAACTTTAACACGTACAACACAAGAACCATATAATATAACACCACACACACACACACACACATATATAGTATAATATGTTATCATACTAGCAAAACATAAAAGATCAATCGACCTTTTTGAAGAAGAAGACAACCAAAAACGATCTATCTCTCTGTCTCTCTTCGGAACCTACAGTTAATTGATTGAAGGGACAAAATCATCAAACTCCCTGAGAAAACCGATACACATATTGTCGCTGTTGGCCCGCATTTCACTGATAAGCTGTCGGAGATCGGAGGTTTCTTCCTTGAGCCTAGCGTTCTCTTTCAAGACACAGTCGTGGCTCTCTGATAAGCAGTTCAGCTTATCGATAAGGCAGTGGTTCTCTTTGCGAAGCCTTGTCACTTGAGACCAAAGCTCATCAAGATGCCTCTGCTTCCTCATCCTCGATCTCCTTGCAGATTCTCTGTTCGATATCATCCTTCTCTGTCTCCTCTCGTCGATGATGCTCTGTTGGCGATCTTCGTCGGATGTCGAGTTGTTGCTTAGGCTCGTGGGCACGAGTTCTTGACCGTTGGATGAGATGTTCATCATGAGATTGCTGAGGTGGTAAAAGGAAGAAGAAGTTGATGATGATGACGATGGCGAGGGCATGCTGGTTTGGAACATGTTGAACTCCGTTGCCGGAAAGTTTGTCAGGTTTTCCGGTGGTAGATAGTCGAATAATCCGGTGATGTTTGCCGGAATCATGATCGTTAATTGACTCTTAATGATTGTGATATGATGATTTCTTGGGTTATTAGAGATTTTTTTTTGGTGAGTGAAGAAGTTGTTGAAATCGGGGATGAGGAGAAGTGGGGTTTTATAGAGTTGGAGAGAAAAAAGAAAGAGGAGGAAGTGGGTCCATAAATAAAATAATTATGATAAGAGAGGAGAAGGGAACAAAGAGAACGAATATAATTTATATGATCAAGAAACAAAACTACTCTATATATACTGATGAGTAAAATAAACGAAGACGGTCCACAACTTTGATATTTCTACCATGAATTAGGATCAGTAATTCACAAAAAAAAAAATTATATGATCAGTAATTTCTAAAATAAAGATGGACATCTTTATGCTGAAAATTTTGGATGGGTTTTAGTAGACAAAATTACTCAACCAAAAAATGTTTATCTTTCAAATTTGTAATATTGATTTTTTATTTGTAAAAACATATTTCGAACTTTTAACATATTATAAACTATTATGCCATTTTGTGATCAGTGAAACCTTCAAAAAATATTTATTTGGGGGGTTTTAAGGACTGAATAGTTTTATTATCAGTCTGTTTTTTATCGCATAATATATATATATACATACATTTTTAATGGGCATTAGGGTAACATATATGTATCTTTTGAAATAAAAGAATTCATTTGACTTTGGCACCGACTCGTTAGGTCTAATTCATAACTTTATTTTTTTAAAATCATGTTCGTCTCGCTCGTACTAAATTACTGTGCCAACAACATAAAGAGAAAAAAAAAATGAATAATGTGTAAACAGCTGTAGATATTACTAGACATCTTTTCAGTTTTGTCCGATTGAGAAAGGTTATGTATTCGTCATAAAACGACGAAAACATTATAATCAATATTGTTGTTGTGTTGTGTATAAATAGTATGTACGTACGTATATACTGTAGTCAAATGTTTTGGACACTATTTCTAAATGGATATATATACATATATATATATATATATATATATATATATGAGCCGTGATGATGATGATGACTATTACACTAGTTTAAAAATAAAATAAAAGAGAATTCCGTACGATGTAATGTTACAGGGAAGAAACTGGACCGTGCATTTGTGTTGTGATTGGTGACGAAATGGTCATTTACGTAGTTAAGAAAATCAAGATTAAATTAAGACCAATTTATTTTTTTAATTAGTCTAAATCGAAATGGTTTGCATATGCGGAGAATTTTCCAGTTTTATATTCTTACTGATCACCATAACCACCTAACTATAATTAGTAATTAGGCGATTATCCATTATATTATAGTGCTTTTAATCTAGGGATTTTAAATTAATTTTATTTAAAAGGATTGGATAAGTTCGAGCCAAGTACCAGACAAAGTAAAATCCCTAACTAATGCATGATAATTAATTAAACTAATTAAATTAATTATTAACTCAATCTTCCTTTATAAGTGTTTTCCTGGTCCCTCTGTTTTTTTCTTTAAGTTTAGCTCTTGGGTATGTGTCCTTCCTATTCCGCTATTCTTATTAATAATTTATCATTTTTTTAAGGCTTAATTAATTCATAACACCAGCCCTAATGGCTGATAATAGATGTTAATCATAAATTATAAAAAGTTGATGTACGGCTCAAGGACTTACTAACGTCAGCCGTATAATTGACGTCACACGTGCATATTATTGCGAGCAAATTATATTACCTAGGGCAACATGTTAACTCTCCCCCTCTTAATTTTCAATTTATATTTTAATCATGAACACGTTGATTTGAATAATCATTGACATTAGATCATATGGTCCTACCATATCATATCCAAAAGGAATCAAAGAAGAAAAATTAAACACATGTATATGCGACATGAAGAGCTTGGCTTCGCATGTACGTAATGAATAATTCGAATGAACTCCCTTTTCATGTAAATATATTTCCTAAAACGACATTGAATGAGATATCCATCATATGTTATATCCATTTATATTGGCGAAGATTTGCGAAATGATACCTCGGTTATTTTCAATACTAGATAAATAATATGTAAAATTTGTATGATAAAAGAATATTTCTCCCAATCTAATTTAAAAAAAAATACAACATATATATATATATATAATATGTTTTCAAGTTAGAGCTTAAACATCGATCTTGGACGTCTAATTTACCAAAGAGATAATCTAAAACATGTCATCGGGCTGCTTTAGCCATCCATTATCCGGAGATGAGAAAACGTCGTTAAGCATATTATTAATTCATGTGTGTGCGAATGGATATTTATTATCAAATATTCTTATTTTATTTATTTTATTTTATTGGTGGAGAAGAGAAGACTTGCACATCTACGAAGCCTATGAGTTGAGGGAGGAGTAAATGGCTAAACCATATACGCCGAGAGAGGGTACGGATGCTGCAGACAGATTTAACCTAATGTATTAATTCAATGTTTATTCAATTGGCAAAAAGACAGTGATTTGATATTACAATGAGACATGTATTGTGGTCCGTTGCAATCAGGTATGACTCGGTGGGTCCAAACATTTTCTAGTGACCCCTTGTGGGCGGTGCACCATTTCACCCATACATTTTTTACCTCTACACCTTCCGCATGCATACTTGTATCATAATCCATTATATATATGTGTATATATATATATATATATGTGTGTCTGTGGATTATGGATATGGATTATATGATGCTAATCATATAAGATAAGTTTAGCAGCATTGACTTAGACAATGATTTAGTTTTGATAGTTTTGTCTTAAACCATGGCCTGAACTAACAAGAGTATGATATTGTATAAATAATTTCTGTATGATCCCCACAATTTCAGATAATTACAGATAAACCCATTTTTTTTTAAGATTTCTTCCGCTTTCATGCAAGCGTATTATATAAGGTTTTGGAATTGGTAAATTAATGTTATATTAACCAAATGAATTACATGTAACTATATACAACTTTGCGAAGAGAAAAATTAGGAAATTTAAAAAGATTCTCCCGTGATTTATGTATATCACTAACATGCCCCGCAAGATCGGTGTCGTGTGCGAGTCCGATCTTGGACCGAAGAAGTTCAAACCGTGCCCTAGGTAATGGCTTTGTGAGTGCGTCAGCAAGTTGGTCGGTAGAGGAGACATGAGAAACACGGAGTCGATGAGCTTGGACGAGACCACGGATGAAGTGAAAGTCAATGGCAACGTGCTTCATACGAGAGTGGAAGACAGGATTGGCGGATAGATATGCCGCGTCGACATTATCACAATAGATGACCGTCATAGTCGAAAGCGAGACACCTAGCTCCATGAGTAAAGAGACTAACCATTGAACCTCGGAAGTCGTGGTTGAAACAGATTTGTATTCCGCTTCCGTATAGAGGATTTTGCTGCAAATCTCTGCTTCTTCGAGGACCAAGAGTCCGGATTGTGGCCGAGGTATACAATGTGTGCTCTGGTTGACGTGAAATCATCTCGGTCACCTCTCCAATCCGTGTCGGAGAAGGCATGAAGAGTAAGAGGGGATGATCGAGAGAGAAAAATACCATGTGATCTAGTGTCGCCAAGATAACGTAAAACCCGCTTCAATGCTTGCCAATTATCAGATGTTGGACGATGCATGTATTGCGAGAGTTTGTTCACAACATATGCAATATCGGGATGAGTGAAAAGAAGATACTGAAGGTTGTCCAAGACTTGACGATACTCACTCGGATCGTCAAGTGTAATGTCGGAGTGAAGCCGAAGATCCGATGTAGAAGCAAGGGGAGTTGGTACGGGCTTGGCATCCGCCATTGAGTGACGAGAGAGAATGTCCGATATGTAACGTCGTTGGGTGAGGAGAAGACCACCGGATGTTCGAGTAACTTCAACACCAAGAAAGAATGATCGGGGGCCGAGGTCTCTGATAGAAAAACGTCGAGCCAACAAGTCGATATAATGTTGAACCGCTTTCGAGGAGTCTCCGCTAATGATAATGTCATCTATGTAGACAAGCAAATAGATACATACTCCATCACGATTAAGGATGAATAAGGATGTATCGGAGAGTGAATTGACGAACCCGGACTTGAGGAGAAACCGACGTAGCTCATTGTACCATGCCCGATGAGCTTGTTTAAGACCATAAAGTACTTTGTAGAGTTTGCACACATAGGTAGGTCTATCTCGATCAATAAATCCTGGAGGTTGGGCTAAGTAGATATCTTCATCAAGTGAGCCTTGGAGAAAGGCATTGTTCACATCAAGTTGGCAAGTATCCATCCTCGAGTCACGCCTAAGCTAAGAACAACATGAATGGTAGCATGCTTGATGACCGGGCTGAAGGTATCAGTGAAATCAATGCCCGACCATTGATGGAAACCTTTGGCCACTAAGCGAGCTTTGTATCTGTCAATAGAACCATCAGAGAGTCGCTTAGTACGGAAAATCATTTTGCAGCCAACAATGTTATGTGATGGATCGGGTGGAACTAGGCTCCAAGTGCCATTGCGGAGAAGAACATTAAACTCTTCCGCCATTGCATTTCTCCATTTCGGGTCTTTGAGCGCTTGCGATACACATCTCAGTTCTCTATCTCGATAAGGGTCAAGGGTGGTGGAAAGAGGGAGTTTGG